TTGCCATACAGCTGAAAATCCACAGCATCCCCACCAACCGGCTCCGTCTGTGACTGAACACAGGGATTTCCATTCCAGCTCTGGATTGGGTCCAATTCATGCGATAAGAAGCAAAATGCAATTAGACTACACTTTCTAAATCTGTGACTGAATGATGGGAGTCTCACGGATGTTATAACTTATCTTACTTTCTAATTACGAGTGTGACTTAGGAGGGTGAAGACATATTTTCTTTAATTTTTTTATATGTCAAATCGGAATGAACTGAGGATGGGGGTCTTTGCTGATGCAACGTTAAATAAACTGAGAATATCAGTGATGCACTCAGTGATTCACATGAAGTGTTATGGTGACTCTCCTGGAAGATAATGAATTTAAATACATTTAACTATCTTATAATAGGCTCTTGTTACCCATACATGTGGTGCTTGATGAATGATAATTGCACTTTTGTATTTTGTTTACTGCAGCTTAAGGCTATCTCTTATTTGTCTACAAAATTGATTGTAATTTCATGGAAAATGCTTTAAATCAGTGCCTTTGCCATGGTGTGATGCTACTGCCATCTACTGATTCTGCAGACATCTCCACTGCATCTCTGTTTCCCCCTGCTTTTAGAGCCAGGCATTATCACCCCTCTGTCGTAAAAAACACAAGATCTTGAACAACCAGTACTGACAGACGACAAGATAAACTCGTGAACTGACCTGCTGTACAGCTCCAGGGGCAATCCTGCTCACAACACGCTCACAAAGGATCCAAATTAGGCTCACTCATTCATTCACAAGGTGGCGCTGCTGTCATCGTTGGTGGGAGGACAAGCTGCATTCTTGAGATTTCATGAGTACTTCACATCATTGTGATGATCCGCGATGCTGTAAGAGAAAATACAAACACTAATCATCCGGACAATTGTTTTTTTTTTTTTGTTACCTCAGTGGAAAATACTCTGAATGACGTAATGCCCTAATCACTCTTAAAGGTATCAGCTTTTTGTTCTAAGTGAACAGTGTGATGGATATAAATACATAAAGTAAGCTGTAGTTAAAAAGTAATACCTCTACTACAGAGCCCTGTTTGTGCACTTTCTAAAACACAAATAGTGTGGTGAACAAAATAAAATCATGACTAATAAATAGAATGATGTGTTAAAACTCACCGTTTCAGTTCACATCTGTAATGAAAGCACTGTGACACTGTGGTGACCAACACATCACTCAAACATTAACTTCTTGACTTGCAGCCACAGAAATGAGTAAACTAGCTTCCTAAATTCGGCACACGTTAACACCGCAGCTGGAGTTAGAGTTGTGTTGTTGTTGTTGTTGTTGTTGTTGTGGTAAAAACAAAAATAAACTCTGCAGTTGTTTTAATTCGTATTCCCTTAAAGTTGAGACCACTTGACTAGAATTAGTCAGTTGGCTAGTAGCCTACTGCGATGCTATTTGTGACAAAATAAGACTATCTGGACCGCATTTGAAAAATTTACTTTTTATATATTTTTGAGGACTACAGGCATTTTAAACGTTTTTTTCCTTTTTTAAAAACGAAAAGGAAAAGGTTCAACATTGTTTGATTTGTTCCCTGAGGAAATAATTAGTCTCCTGTTTGCAATGAGAGCCTGGCCTGGCTTTGCTTCAGGCCTAATTAGAAGTAGTTATGACCCCCAGAATTATAAACACGCTCACAAAACACTAGTTTTGATTACTGTTCTGCCAGTGTCTGAACTAGCATAGGTAAAGCAGGTGTTTAATAAACACTGCATGTTGTTAGATGAGAGCATGTGGTGTAGTTTCAAGCAAATTAGAAAGCAAAACATTTGTTTTCATCTGATTTTTTATGTGGCAAGCTCTTATTTCAGCCATTACAAGTCATAAAAATAGATGAGAGTCGCGGTTTTTGTGTGCAGGGTTTAAAAGAATCCACAACAGCAGTTATTAAGTGCTGTGTGTCAGATGCATCAAAAACTGAAAGGTCAGTTCTTCCTATAGGTTTTCATGAGGTTATACATTTTTCATCACATACATTAACTTTCATTCCCAATGCATTATTAAGGAGTGCTGTGGGGAGGTAGATGAACTGAGAGTAAATAGCCTCAACTCCACATTTTGATCCAGCCTCATTACCTACTACTGTGCTGCAATCGATTAGCTCAACTCCATTTGTAGATTTGAGCTACTCAACTTCTCCTGCAGCAGGCAGATTTATGCAGAGTATTCATAGAAAGCATAGCCCTTCATATACTTTAGAAAACTACAGTTGATTGTGTACTGTAACAAGTCCTATATTACATTCTAACTTACAATTAAAATAAAGTTTATTTGGTGATTTTTGCTCTGAATTGTGCTTTGAAGTCCCTTATGTAAACGTATAGTTGGTCACTGCAAGAAAAAAGTAAGTTTTTTTATCACAGCCTTGTACAAACCTCAACCCCTATAAGGTTGCTGTCAGTTGCCTGAATTGCAACATCAGGGGATGTGACTCCCATCTGTCATTGGTCAGAAACTGTTCTTCCAGAATGAAATGGCGTCCTACAGCCGCATAGTGAGAGGCTGCAGGTGTCAAACAGAGACAGTCGGAGGCGATGATTCCCACAGTCAGTTGTGGGAGGAACTGCCTGACACTGCATTTTTGAATGTAAGTACGTAGGCATAGAGAAAAGTTCTTTCCAAAGTAATGCTTAAAATTTCAATCTAAGCATCAGGGCTGCAACTATTGTCCCATTTAATTGTTCAGACGATGGATATCCAAAAACAGAAGAAAAAAAAATGTCCATGAGGCCAAGTTGAAGCCAAGCCAAAAACATATTTAACTACTATGTAAGTCACGGGAAAACAATAAAATCTTACAGCGCAAAAAGTGATATCTAGTTTGGTTGTTTTTCTTTTTGAAGCAAGGTAATTCAAAACTCAATTGTGCAATTCATTACTGCTAGATGCATTATTGTTAGGCACTGTATGTTTTAAGGTATTCCACACCAACTAACTTGTCAGTAAATTTAAAAAATGATTCAATATTTACATAACAAGGGTTGAAATACCAGTGTTTCAGACCAAATATTTAATCACAGTCTAAGCTCAGACACTCAGTATGTGTTTGTAGAAAACAGTCTGACTGCAGTGTAACATAGCGCTTATGAGTCAGTCGCCTACAGTACCTTGGATGTTGTCTAATTGATTCATGATCATAATATTTAATTTGAACATTATAAACCTTGAATATTAAACCCACCTCAATAGTATCATGTTTCATAATGACATAGAATACGTCAACTGAGAATGTAGAATAAAGGGTCTAGGAAAGTTTGGAGACAATCATTTTTTGTGAGCTTGAGGAACATTTAAAAGAAATACACATTTGTGTCAGAGATTGAGTTCTCTTTAAAATGTTCACAATGCGGAGAATTGTCTTCAATATTCCATAAAGAAGCTTTTCGCATTATATCCAAAGAACTTGAATGATTTCTTTGTAGGACTACGCTAGAATAAATCAAAAAAGGACTGTGCTGCAGTTTGGAGTGAAAATGTACCTTCACAGACGTGTCAGTTTTGTAAGGTAGCAGGAGGTTCGCATCATGTCACTAACCCTTGAAACGGTTTTTGGCCTCTCCTGAATAAGCCATCATTACACAAGCTCCATACTAAAAGAAACGGAGAGCAGACTTAGTCATTGTTATTGATATTTCTCTCAGAGATGTAGGAGCACAGAGCCATAAAAAGAAAAACTGCCCACCTAAACGCCATAGGAAGGGAGTACTTCTCTTAAAATATCACATTTTCTCTCACAGGCCTGCTGCTGTGGTGTGTAATATTCTACAACTGAGTGTATAGCCCAAACATTTCACATACCAGAAAGCAAGGCCACAGCTCTTTTCCCATCGTTACTGCAGGGTCATATGGGAAAGTAATTTTGGAAATTAAATTTAGCTGTTAAGATATTTTAAACTTACCTTTTCACTAAAAGAAAAGACAAACCCTGCATAAGGGATGTTAATGATTAATCATTCACCGCTGTTAAGAATTAAACCGATTAAAAATGTATTAACCGACAATCTGTTTACAATTTTACCAGCGGTCACGTGTAATACCATTTTATAGCAGAAAAGGAGTTCCTTCATCTTTGCAAGTCAGAAAAACTGTTGTTACAACTAAAGGAAGAAGCTGTCCTGAGAAAAGTGAGGCAAAAATGAAACTGTAGAGGGACTTGCAGCTGGACTTTGTGTGAAAAAACGGTGAACACCACTCACCCCTGGTCACAGAGATATGTCCATCTTTCTAAATAAAAACAACAAGGCCTTCCATATATTATGGTGAGTAGAGTATTTTATGCACTCATAACTCACTCCTGAACATGTAGGTGTGTTCATTTTCTCAAATAGCCTACAAAGCAGAATAATTAACTGCACTGTGAAGAGGCTCAAATGGTTTTATTTCACTTGTATATAGCACTTTGTTGATTTTAAAAAAGGAGTTTCATTTGGTCAGCCGTGTTAGTCTAGAAACGGCAGTAGCGCCACGTTTGGCATTTTTTTTGTTAGCAGCGCTGTTAAATAAGAACAGTCATACATTTAAAAGAGAACAGTTTTGAAGCGAGAGCCTTGATGTTTTATTAGTTTAAATTGTATTTCATGATTTAATGTTAAAGTAACTATTGTGCTGCTATGGTTTCAATAAAACAAAATGGAGAAAAAGACGTATTTTTTAACTCAATAATGATTAATTGATAATTGATTGTTTAGGTGTTCAACTGTCAGTCAAAAAAAATTACTGAAATTTGCAACCCTACCCTGCATATACCTTTCTTTGTACCGTGTTCAATCACTTGTAACAAATTCTGCTCCAGCTTTTGTATGCAACAACTGACAATGTAGTGTTTAGTTGTAACACATGTTGAATTTACTGAAAGTGTCTTATAGGTTGGACGAGTCAGCCCTTTTTATACACATTCATTGAAAACCCTGTTGAACCTTGTTCCTCTCAAGTAAAAGGGACCATACACCATTTTTGAGGCTTTACAAATAGTATTACATTTTATTAATATATTTTCATAAAACAAGTTTAAGACTGTATCAAAAACTCAGTAAAAACATTAGATTTTTAACCTTTTTTTTTCTTATTGTGATATCCGATATGAAATGTACATAATTCACATGTTGTGGTTTCCCCATCATATTCAGATAATGCATTATTTTTGTTGTGATGTGCAGGTTAACGTTCTTTTGTTCCCCCACAAACTATAAAGTATTTTTTCTCATGATTGTGATCATAAATCTAGACATACAATTAAAAAATAAAAGTATTTCCCACTCTGCCCCCCCTTTCCCCGACTAGGTTTACTGATAAAACACTAACATTATGGAGTTGTTTAATTTCACAGGCACACAATTATGTACATCCCCATGTCCCCATGCCTCATCTGAACTGACAACAGGAAGTGCACCAAACATAACAGTGCAACACCTAGAGGCAGAGCAGTGATAATACAGTACTCTAAGCCCACCCACCCCTCAGACTACCAAAACCAACCTAAAATAAGACAGTGGATCCACTAATTTTCACCCCGCTGTGAATCACAGCATTCCACTGGCTCCAACAATATTGTTGTAGCAACCGCACAAGGTTTGCCTTGTGACCACAGACATCACCTTGGCAACAGTAAAAACCATCCGTCTCACAGGCAGGTTCAGTGGCACACACATTAAGAAAATAAAATCATTACTTGTTTGATTTGAATGAGGCTACATCTACAACAGGCGTGATCAGTGTAGTGTCCTTAATGATCAAGTACCAGAGGAATCTCAGTCATGTGGTTAGCTGAAGGATACAAAAAAAGACATTTTTCTTCTCCTTACTGAACTACCACTTACTGCGTTCAAATCTGCGCAAGACACGTAGTGCAAGGTTTAACAAGAATTTGCATATGTGCAAGGGTTGCATGTTATTGTCAAGAGGGAGAAAAGCATAGAAGGGAGCAGGGAGAGATCAAAGTTGACTAAAACAAACAGATTTTTGTGTAAATAAAAGTGTTTCATGCTTTCAAGTTTGGCATTTTGTATTTCATTCCCTCTAGAAATAACAGGTGCAAAATCTTAGTAAACCTAGCCGAAGGACAGATCAGAGTGATATCGAACTCATAAAGATTAACATTGTGAGGAAGAGCCTCAAGTCTGTTGTCATGGTGACATCTGTTCAAAGGCCCTGTGGGCTTCAGTCTTTCCTGCTTCTTTATTATTTTCTATACAATAGAAATAGTACGTCATTGAAGTTAAAATTGACTCTTCTTGGCAAAAACAGACAGAAAAGAATATGCAAGAAGTCAAAAGCAGATCTGAAGGAGAAAAAAAAAACATAAGGGCAGGAATTATAAACTGTTCCCGATCCATTTGCCCTGTGCCAGTAGTAGAATTGTACATTATAGTGTCTTATCCTTGATGGTCAAATATATGGGTATGGTTGCCTGCTCCTCTACAAAGTCCAAGCCATTTCATTGAACACATGTAAAATTACTCATGTTGTAGTTTTTAACAAGAACATCCCTACATTGCACCTGCTTTCCAAACTGAAAGCTGTAGTGTGCGTTAGGGAGGCACGTAGGGAGGTGGTGACCTGTATGAGGTCATGTTCTTGGGGCGAGATCCTTTACCCTCTATCGGGACAGTAAATGGTGGTGGGGGCTGGTAAGGAGGGGCATTAGGATCATCATCCTGATAAACAGAATACTCCTCAAGCAGATCCTGGTTCAGCAGGGTGCTGTGGGGGCCCGCCATGTTAGGGTACTCTGGAGGGGGGAGTGGGGGCTTCTCCTCCTGAAGAATAAGAGGTATGCTGGAGGACGGGGGCGACTTGGAATCATCTAGCTCATCTGCAAAGATAATTGGAACGCCTTTCTTGATGAAAGTGGCTTGCTCCTCTATGGTCATTTTCCCTTTGCGCTTCTTGCGGTAGCAGACCATAGCGATGATCCCGGCAATGAGGAGCAGGGCTGCTACCACTACAGCAGGAATGACAGTGTGTAGGTAAACATCGTCAGTGCTCCTACGACCTGTTCCAGGTGACGGTGAAGCTGTAGGAAGAACGGGGCTTGGTACCTCTCCTGGTGGGATGAATGTGTAACTCTGACATTTATTGGTGCCACGAACAGAGATGTTTATGGGTTTGAAATCAGGCTCCATGGCTTTGATGAAAGCCAGTTTAGGTGTCCCTTGGTGATCAGAGATTCTATTACTTAGAACTGTGATCTGCTCCTTTGGACAAGGACTCTGCTGGAGGCTGTTGTTGGTCCATTCCACCACAATGGAGCCACTCTTGATGCTCCTCAGTGTTACTGTGCTAGTGTTGCGATCACCAAGGGCATAAGCCAACCTTTTAGTCAAAAGAATCTTCTTATGTACATCATTGCTTAAAGTACTTGGGTCACCATGGAAACGAGCAGCAAACACAACTGAGGGTTTGTCATTGGATGACCAACGGTTTACTTGAACCTCAAACGCATCCATGATGCTCTTCCCACCCTTATCAGTTGCTAACATGAAGTACTCATGTTTCCCCTCATGCTGCTCCTCAGGGAGGCCATACAATAGCTGGATAGTGCTGTTGAATTGGATCCAGGATGTTTCACTCACTGCTTCTTTGGGGGTCTTCTTCAGAGTCAAACGCAGCTTATCAGTGGTACCGTCCTCCATGTCAAAGAACGTATCGGGAGGAATTTTGACCTCAAAGTAAGTGCCAACCCATGCATTCACCTGATCAATGGGGTTGCGGATATCTGGGTTTTGATTTAAGTCAGGAGTCATTGACAGAGTAGTGGTGCGCCTTGGCGGTTTAGCTGTAGTGGACTTCGGTTCTCTTGGAGCAGGGGTGGAGGATTTGGGCTTCTTGGGTTTCCTTGTGGCAGAGGGTTTGGGTCTTTTGGTGGTGCTTGGTGGTGTCGGCAAAGCAGTAGCCTCCACGATTGTAGGCCGGGTCATGGTAGGCTGAATTGGGATGGTGCTCGTGGTTCCTAAAACTCTTGTTGGTTGGGGAGGTCCAAACACAGGTGTGTGTGCTATCTGATCTCTGACCCTCATAGTTGGCTTCACTGGAAGAGGCAAAGGACCTCGTACGGGGGGAACAGAGCTCTCTGTTGCTATGGCAATAGAGGGCGAAGTTGGGGTGGGCACAACACGTACAGGGGGCTCTGGGTGAGTTGTTGGAGGCAGCAGGGAGGGCACTGGAGTAGGGGTGTTGTACAACTGCCGTCTGACACGTTTCACTCCATGTGGTTTTTTGTTGACAATGTGCCAGCCGACCACTGGATATCCCAGCCTTGCTGACATGGTCCCATCCTTTGCTGAGGATTGGACACTGCTAATGTCAGGGATATTGCCCTGATCAAGAGCACAGCCAAGTTTCCATGAGAGTAGGGCCCCATTCTCCACTACCTTCTTGGCATTGCCTGGTCCAGCCATGAAAGCAGACATGTCAAATAAGCGGTTGTTGACAACAGGGACCACCCTCATGTGTTCCAGGGGTACATGTGAAAACTTTCTCATAATGCCAAGTAAGTTAACCCTCTGCTCAGCAACCATTTTTGTCAGGTCAGCATCCAAGATGACAGTGAGAACAGTGACAGGCTCCTCAGAGCCACAGGTGAAAGGCTGGATGCCACTTGTATCAGACTGTAGAGTGAGCAGGGCTGGCTCAGTATCGGCACGTTCTTCTGGGTATACTTCAATGGAGAAGACCGTGCTGGGGAACACTTGGCCTGCAGTCTCCTCAATTAGGTTTTCTCCAGACACCATGATATGATATACACCTTTATCCTGCTCCAGGGCCATGCCTCTCAGAATGCAACTTTCTTTGTCCCAATATAGCCAGGAGGGTAAAGTCTCCTTTCCCATCTCGGTGAGCTACAAAAAAATAAAAGAGAAAAACTTTAATATACCACAGGAATACTTGAGATGTTGATAAGTCCGAGAAGGGAGAGTGAAAATTCATAATACATATTTTAAGATAGCTCAGACTGGGACTTTAAATTATGTTATACATATAAATACAGGAAAGCAATTTAATATTGGCAACTGTTTTTACAATGTTTGGTATTTACAAAGCCTGAAAAACTGCATGAAAGTATCATGATTAATAATTCTCTATTTCATATTGACCAACTTGCCAGTGAAAGAGTAATTACAAAAAACAAACACACACATAAAGAGGAATGCAAACCCTTCAAACATGCACGATCTATCCAACCCCCACCTCCTCCATATTACATTCAGTCTTTCAAATCTCTCCAAATATGAACAGGAAGCACAGTAAGCATGTATTCATGATCACTATGTGAGTCATCACTATTCATTTTGACTTGTTAAGGTATGACAGGATATCATTCCGCATCACCACTCGGGCCAATAATAATCTCATGTCATTCATAAGTCCAACTGGAACAAATTGCACCCCAGTCAGCTTCTATCAGCAGTTATACAGTGATCAAAACTGAAAGGATAAATACTATGCACTATGTATTTCTACAGTGGCAAAAAAAGTACTCGTCCCTACGAGGCAAATTACAATTCGAAAAAGTTCCACATTTGTTACATTTAGAATACTGCATGCATCATCTGTGATTCATTTTTCCACTACTATAGAGTTGACCTATACCTTTGTTATTAGGCATGAATTTGAAGTTGTAATTACTTTTCAGGGATACAAAAATGTAGTTCATAACCTTGTACCAGGAAACCCTGAAGTAAAGCTCATGGCTTACAGGTTTTTCTATCATTTAAGATAAGAGAGGAATACATAGACAGAGAGTCAATGTCAACCATCAGCATGGATCCTTTTGATTTGGTCTATTTAACCAAATAAATAAGGCACCTTCTGAAATACCAAGAATGGATAAAGCCTTGGACCTTGGAGTCCATTGGTACAAAAAATAAATCCTCTCATACTCTCCATATTTCCTACTCCCATTTCCTTTAAACATAAATGTTATACTCATGGATGATTGATACTGCTCTCATTGAATTGTTAAATAATTTACATGAAATTGTAGTAACACTAACTCTCTTATGAAGAACTTTACCAACATGCCAAATGTTTATCTAATAATAAAACAGTGCATTATCTCAAAGTATTTATATTTACACTTACATGGACATTACAAGTGGCATTTGCAGGCCCTGCAGGAACCTTTAACTGAAAAACCTGTCCCACGATTGCAGAGGAGTCAGGGATGCCAGTGTGTACTCCCCCGTTCTTTACAGAGGAATCAGGGGAAGCTGATGGCGGACCTTCACCAACCGAAGATGCTGCAGCCTGAAGCTCAGAGAGCACAGAGGACTTCATAGAAGCCTCTAGTTCCACAGATATCATCTCCATCATTGTCTCTTGCTGTTCTGGAACAGACCCCTGGGCTATGGTAACCAGAAGCCATATTACCAGTGGGATAGTCCTGCATGATAGTAGCCTGCTCCTCCCAGCATTGCCGCAGCTCATGTCTCTCCTTTTATAGTGCATAGCAAGAGGCCTTTGGGCTGCCCAACAGATGACTGTGAACAACTTAAGAGGCCGCATGCACTGAAGTCAGTCTGATGATGTGCTTGTGGCTCAGACCCCCTAGTTATTGGCTTTGCTCACAGATGCAGTGATTTCTCTTTGTTTTCTTCTGTGATCCATGAAGAGGTCTGTGGCAACCTGTTAGACTGCCATGATAGCCAGCTCTGTGAGAAAACAAACAGAAGTGCAACATTAGAAAAAAAAAACATCAGTGTAAAGAAACAAGGTACTGGTATTTTGGCTTACATAGTAAGGAGATCCCCTCAACAAATCTTCCCATCCCCAATACTATGACCATACTGTATGTATGCATGCAATGGCTGCATATCATTCATTTGCCACCTAGTCTGGAGTAGTATAATAAGTGTTATGAATATGGTGCTACAGTAGAGAGCTTGGGTGCATAGCTCTTCTTCTCTTTAAAAACTTACTACAGCACATTTATGCAGTTGAAAATCCCTGTATTTGCCATTCTTGTGCCCTTTATTTGTTAGTCTTGTGATGATTGATGATAAGATGGACTGCCACCCTCTCCACTATCTTGACAATCAGGGTCTTTTTTTCTTTAGTAGCAACAACAGCTGGTTAGCACACGACAGAGTACATATCCACTTCCCACTGCAAAGCATTGTTTCAGATGCCAGGGAGGTAATTAAATGACTTTCGCCAAAGAAAACAAAGAGTAGAACTAAGGCGCAAAAAAGGGACAGTGAAAAAGAATTTCCCTAATCTTCTAAAGATGAGAAAACTGTTGAATGAATGTCAACATGACTTCAGTTATGACTTATTGGCATCAATGGAATGGATAGTTTTGCAGGACATTCCTTTGCCTGCTCTTCAAGTCCCTTTGAAGGATGCACTGAAGACTGTAGCAATTGTAGCCCCCCCACCCCCCTGGGATCCTAAACAGATTGACATCTTCGAGAACATAAACAAGACCAATATAATTATCAAATTCTTCTGATATTACCTCAGACAAACTGTAGGAGTTGGTGAGCAGCTATCGTGGACTTCATTTCCATGACATTTACATAATACATGTTTATTTTGACACTTATAAAAAAATTTGTCAGCAGGACGCACTGATCTATTGATCCTCACTTTCCTGTCATGCCATTTTCAGTAATAGCGATTCTCACGCGTTGCACGAGTGTCAAAGGTTGTTTGTCTTGGTTGTAAGTTTTAATTATGTGCCCTGGGGGTTGGAATAAAAGTCTCCATTGTGCTGACCCAGCCAACCCCAATCCTGTAGCACTCAGAAATGGGCAGAGGAGGGTCATCTGATTGCCTGGAATCCTAATGCCTGACTGGCAGAGAGCTATGACGTCAACCCACACACTCACAAAAACTCCTCCCTGCTCTCAACTGCTTCATGTCATTGAGGAAAACGTTTACAGCAGGTCTTTGAAAAACACTTGTCATTCACTGGTACACATCCATGTCACACAAAACCCATCCCTCAAAGAATGTTTTATGCTGTTTGAACTACACCATTATATCTGGATAACTCAAACAAGAAACTACCAATGACAGTGTGCTCTGAGAGCAATGTGATAGAAATCTGCCAGAGCCAGCGTAAATGTTGCAATCACAAAACAATACTTATATTTAGGGTTACACAAAAAAGAACTCCATAAGGTGACAGTGCAAAACTTCACAGGTTAAGTATGCTTTTCTCATATTTTCTCCTTAGATCTTCACTTTATCAATCATAAACATAAAAAACATTAGTATCACAATTCCAATCAGATTCCTAACAATAACACTATCACTCTAAAGTTTTTCATACTATATGGTTTGTGCTGTTCTTATAGGAATGGGCAGATCAAAAATAAAACAAGGGCCAAATCCTTTAGGTTCCCTCTATAAGAAGATTATTCTTTTGTTAACTTTTACAACAAATTGTATTAGGCTTATTTGCAACTCATGTAGTCAAAAGGTAGCTTATTACACAGTTGGATGGCTGTATTTTCCCTGCTGAATGGGGCAGAGAGATATTCAATGGAAAACATTGTTCAAGGTGGGAGTGATCAGAATCTCTGTGGGAATCGGATGAAATGGTCAGGTATCCTGCCGTTTCTATTTAGATCTCTATCAAGCAGCTCAGATTGAGCCACGGTAAAAGTCATTAACTGCAATTTCCAAAGTGTCAGAGCCCATATTATGTTGTATCAGTAATTTTGTGTTGACATAACAATGCAAGTAATGCCCCAGATCAACTTTATGTTTGGTTTCTTTGTTCTTATTTTAATAAGGAAAACTCATCCCTTTGGGGAAGCTAACTAAATCAAAAGATAACAGAAGTATTAGCTGTTGAGTCAAACAGCTTTCTGTTTAACATAAATCATGTTTATCACAGACAGCTATATTTGCAACGTTAGTTTCTGTGGACTCAAGTGCAATCCCATCCTTCACTCACTTTCCCAATAGCTACCCATATTATTCTGATCTGATCATGTTATTACAAGGAACAAGTCTCTCTATAGTGGTGTACAGCTGAGGCAGCTCAAAGGAGGATAGCTAACCCACTTCTTTTGCAAATAATGCGATTCATCACTAGACAGAAATGTGCACACTAGAGGCAGTTAGTTATTTGATGCAGAGACATGCTTGTGTCAGATCATCTACACTTAAGTGCCTAATAAAAACTGTAGGCTAATGTATGCAAGACAAAACAACTCAAGCCATAATGTGTAATCTATGTATTTTACTTTCAGAGTAAATGAGGAAGATCTATATGCAGGTATATAGGGTTTGGTTTCTTGCAGCGATGTGGACTATTAGGACGAGTGCCAGCTATACATAAAAACTATACATACAATTAATCCATATATAGTATATAGAGTATAACTGGATGGATTTTAAAAAGTCATCCGTTTAGCTCATCTGACATTTTGCCACTTACAAAGGGGTATTTTTTTATACTGATATCAGTCACAATTAGAAGTGTGCTATATTGCTTTTTTTTAAAGATATGCGAAATTACAATATTGAGTATGTCACTCGTTTTGCTAAAGTCCACAAACATTCACTGCCTATCATCAAGCCTAGTAGGACAAACTACGATGCATACGCCAAGAGAACACATGCAGATTCCAAGCATCACAACAAGCTAAGCTAGGGTAGCTGCCCGCAGGGCTGAAGTTAAAAATGAGTAAACAAACCAGCCAGGAGACAATACACAAACACCACCAGCCTCAGAATCAACGTGGTTAGAGTTAACTGCTAGATGTGGATCAGCCACCCCTTGCATGGAGGTGGTCAGATGTTGCCTAAAAGACATGAATCTGCAGACTATGTAGAAAAGGGGTTGCTGTTAAAGACAACGATCAGACAGCTAGACAACTAACTTGTTTCATTCTCTACAAATTTACCACAGCACAGAATATGAACAATATGAAAAACTTTGGGCGTGAGCAGAGGACCATGACCAAGCAGATACGGCGCAGTCTTTCAGCAACAATGCCTCATGAGAAAAAGGGCAACAGATAGAAAGAAATGGCCAATGCTGACACCAATTATCTTTTTTACTACTTTGGACCCTATCTATGCACACTGCTTAATGTAAATATTGTAAACTCATGTATATTAACCCATCTGTCACATAATTACATTTTTATTGTGTTTTTTTCAGCATCCTTTGCACAACTATCCTAGTCGTGTACATATTAGTCTTTGTTTATTTTGTTTGTTATTGTTGATATTTAATGTAATCAGAATCAGATTTATTGGCCAGGTATGCTTACACACACAAGGAATTTAACTTCGGTGAACTGTGCTCTCATATGTACAGGTACAACATTAAATATCAACAATAAACACAAATTGACTAAATATGAAACAGTGCAGTGGTGAATAGTGCAAAAGATGCTGAAGTAACATGATTATACTTTTGTACACAAGAGAGTACAGTTCACCAAAGTCAAATCCTTCTGTGCGTGTACGCACATGGCCAACAAAGCTGATTCTGAGATACACCCTGCCTAGCCTAGTTTAACATGCTGTCGTAATAATCTTAAGCAATATTTGACAAAGTAAATCCTGTAAGTCCACTTTGTAATGTTTACTCATACCTGCACTGTTTGTTCTCGATACTGAATCTGGTGATTTCAGTGTTTTTTTTAAATGTATTTACTGAATGACTCAGTTTTAAGTTCATGAATAAGGCCTGTTGTTATACGTTTGTTCTTATTAATATCATCTACTTGAAAAGAAAAAAATCCTGCACACTATTCTTGCAAAGCATCACTAATTTAGTGTGTAGACACTTGACAAAGGTTCAGAGGGACGAAACAAGTTTTTCTAATAAATTGGTAATGCTTTGCAGAGTCGTGTGCAGGATTTTTTATTTTCAAGTGAAAGTTTGTCGTCCTACTTTATGAGATAGTTGGATTTCCCGAACATCTCCTTAAATTTTTTTTTTTATATCATCAACATTTAATATACAATTTACAAAAGCGAGCTAGTACAATACAAGACTTCTACTGACTCATTCTTAAGGGATTCAAAACATTGTCAAAATCCCCAAATATATCAAGACATTACTTTTTTCTCAATATATCTTAACCCTAGTGACAAATACATAAAAAAAAGCTACCTGTTTTGAAGAGTACCCTGATCAAGTTAAAAATGAAAGCTTTAAAAAAATATATGGGTTGTATTTTACAGTTAATAAATTATTATTAGTGTTCATCTTCCATTGTGCTCTCTAGTTGTAAAAAAACTATGAACAAAGCAGTTTCCTTACAATCTCCTGCTGGCATCATTTTAATGTCCAGCCTTAAGACAGTATTGAGTCATGTCTCACCTAACCCCTTAACCAAGTTGAGACATGCACATTATCTGGAATCTTCATCAACTGACTCAGTTCAGTGGGATTCAGTGGGATACTGCCAATCCCCTCTCCCCCCTGCACAGCTCTCTTCTGCTTTAAGAGATTCCAAACAAAGAAAACTAGAACAAAAAAATCAAGTAGTCTCTTTAAGAAAAATTGTCATGCAAAACTACTCAAATGCTAATCCTTCACTGACTGACAATGTTCCAGCTGAGCATAAAGACAAAACATACGTCTCGATTGATCTGTCAGTTTGTATCTAAATGTAAAACACAAACATTAACATGAAAATAGGGTTTCCCCATAAGCTTAATTCAATTCAGAGTGAGCAGTATGGCTCATCTCAAGCTGTTGCCACACACACATGGGTAAAAAAAAGCTTCAACTTAGCATCAAAATAAGCTCTCCACAAAGTGTCCTGGATTTGATCATGTGTGTTATTCAGCATCCAATTGAAAGATCCAAAGTGTTACAATAAATCAATGTGCTTGTTCAACATTAAAATGAAACATGTACTTAATAAAATTGTGTTTGAGATTTGTTAATGTCAGAATTAACAAGGATGTTTATTTCAGGAAAAGGCCAACCTTCAACATGTGGCTTAACAAAAGCATTGACCTGCAGCCATGGGCCTGTAGATGAGAGGATTGACATTCAAAGCGTTGGGTTAAACTTTGCAGTTACACATTTTAGATTGTGTACTTCATCAATATCTTTCTGCCTATAAAGTAGTCTAAGAATAAGGCTCTCGTTCACATTCATTTGATAGAACAATCATTTCACAATGCAGATGTGGGGGATAATTGAGTCTTATTGTTTCATCACAACTGTTTCTTTACAACAGCACAAGCACTGAGTTATGGGGCCGACATGCTAAAATAGAGACACAGTTAAAAAAAAAAATCCTGAAGTGCTGAAAAAAAAAAAAAAAAAAAAAGGCTATCTAAAAGGTGTTATTTTCAATACTTGTTGAGTATAACACAACTTGTTTATTTTCCACGAAACACTTATTAAAAACCACCCAGATTTTATGAGAAGCTCCTTTATGGTAAACAGTGCATTGACACAGGCTTGAGTGTGGGGAATTGCTGCCTGTTTCACACTGAGGCCTGCACTACTTGGGGGGACTAAAGCATTTACAACCATTGGTATCCATGCTGTCTGCAGTTCGACAGTAGTTAAAACTTGAAAACCATCAAAAAAATAATTAGGGCTCTGATGCACAGTGGCACTCAGGGCCAATTGAATTGACGTACCACATCCAGCAGCCTCCAGATAGTTCATGAGCTGAATAACAAACATATCCACAAGACAAGCTTGCTTTGCAATTGGATGTTTCCCTTGTGTTTCCCCCTCTTACACTGTTCGACAAAGTAATGAAATATGCGGCAAGGAAACAAAAATAGAAAACAGCCTTAGCTGAGTGAAAGTCTAATCTGACATGATGACCCTGACAGCAGCTTTATCAAACACAGGAAAACTATTTAACTGTACTCTACAACCAGTGTTGGAAGTCTTCTAATCAACTCTTGTGTACTTTTAAATGATTTTAAACATGTCAGAAGCATTTAAGCATAAACACAGTTTTAACTCTGAACCCCTGCAAACCTCCATCTCTGCTCCCTGAAGCCATTAGCTGTTGTCATGTTGCAGTGATTCACTTTGGCAACTTCTAATTCATGTTAAATAACTTATTTCAAAAGTTGCTAAGGTTAATGATGATACTTTTAACACCTCGTTATAGGATGAAAACATCAGTGCAGGGACTGGCACGACTGTAATGGAGACTCACGTTTACAACAGAAATGTTAAATAAGGCCAAAACAGCCTTTTACGTACACAAATTAAAACTAGTTACGTTTACCCCCAAAAAAGACCCCGAGGTTGGTTGACGGCAGCAGATATGGTTTTAAGCGGTGCATGTAACAGAAACAGTGCTGTCATGGCAAAAAAATAAATAAAAAATGTTACAGGATTGTTAATTATTAGTGGCCCAGTGACCAAGTTAACGTTTGAGCTAGCTAAAGCTAACTAACTAAAAAAGCTACCCGGCCCCGTTTTCCTACTGCTGTCGTTTGACGAGGCCTTTTTTTTGTGAAGTGTTAACCACCATCTACAGCATGTCTGCATCGATAACCTATTAAAGACACAAATCAATTGAACTCTTTATGTTTACGGGAATGTTAATTTAAACCTCCACCCCCTGCTAAAAATAAATCAAATCTTCAAATCCGCTCACAGGACTGAAGCGTCGCTAGCGCAGAAATGCACCTGCTTTATTCTGAGGCGGACACAAGAAGCGAGGTGCATCCTCCAACACAGTGTTAACCAGCAAAAAAATAATAATAACATTAGCTATCTTCTTTCATTCTTGACTTGGCTATTTAAAGCATGTTTAACAGGAGCCAGCTACGTCGTTTTCTGAACGCTGAGCACCGAAAGTCGAATAGGAGGAGGAAAAAAAAAAAAAAAAACAGGCTGGAGCAAATAGGTAGCCCCCCCCCCTCCACGACCGAGCTAACTTACAAGCTAACGACAAGAAAAGTATGCTGCTGGGTGACAAATATAACCGGTTACATGCCCAAGAGTCCGTTGCTAGATATGTAAATGAGTCGAGTTACCGATGATGGCGATGGCGGCTTTTGTGAGGAAAGTGCTGATGAAAAAAAAACAGCGACAGAACCATTCATTCAAACTGACCTTGTTAGCGAGCTAGCTTTTAGCTCCTCGTCTCCTCTCCTCTTGCAGCCGGAGAACGCCGCGGAGACTTATAAAATGCCATTAAAAACATGCGCTTTCCTCTTCCCCCACCCCTCTCTCTCTCGCTCTCTCTCTCTCTCTCCCTCCACGCCGAGGACAGATATGTAGGGGTATCTGAGCACAGTCAAGGGAACAGATAAATCTCTGCTGTGGTAAGTCTACGGATAGTTCACCGCTCTATATTGTAATTATGTCGGGTAGCAAAGCCCCTCCCTTGCTGCCTCTGTGTCCTCTTCGCAGACAGGTCTACAGGTTGAGGCCAATCGTGTGTGCCACTGTGACTCCGCCTCCCTTTTATTCGGAGACATGCAGGTAAAGAAAAAAAAAAAAGAATCTTTTGAACTGCTGAGTATAATTATTTGGTGTTTTAAAGCCATTGTACTCATAGCTATGTCGATTCAACTCAGTTTTATAAAAGAGGTACACTTGATAATGATGATGATCACGCATCAGTATAAGCCTCCGTTTCAGCACTGTGCCATCTCAATCATGCTTCTTAGCTGTCGTCACATTTAATCCGTGAGGTCAAACTTTTGCATTTATAAAATATATTTATTTTTTCTTCTTTCTTTTTTTTTCCATCAACTCACTCATTCACTCCATTGTTAATAGATCAATGCCTGTTTCATTTAGCTGACAGAGGGTTAACATTCTCAGTCTTTCTATTGTATGTATGTGTCCAAGTGTGTGTGTGTGTGTGTGTGTGAATACATGAATAGGTTACTGTATATGTGTTTATATTTAATTTTGTTTTGAAATTGTGTAATTCGATTTGTTTAGTTGATTTATTTGTCTCTTAAGAGGTGAGGTCCCTTGTATAAGCCTGTTGGCTTCTTGACCTCTCCTGACACACCTTTTATGTTTTTGTTAATCCTATTTTGACGTATTCTTATATGTGTGCTTATGAATAAATAAAGAATAAATAAATAGCTCTTTTTGAGGGCTATGGGCTTACACTTTTTTCAACATGAAATCACAGAATTGTTTTTTTTTTATTCATTTGTAAAATCTTAACAGAAAACTCTGTTTTGATCAATACATTGATGTCTTTATAGAATATTGTTGGACCTTTTACCATATTAGGAGGATGTAAAATAACTTATTCTTGCTTCTTCCTCCTGTGCACAGGTATCAGGACCTTCATGGCCTCATCTCCACCCAGGCATATAGTAAACACTGCATGGATTGTTGTTTTCTTATTTGTAGCTTGTAATGTAGTTCAAACTCACAAAGCTAAAAATAATGGCTTATCACTTTTGATGATGTTAAGCTAGATATCTCTTAAGCACCTGCAGTCTCTCTCAAAGGACATTTTTAATACAAGACATTGTATCTGATTTAAAAGTATTTTCCTTTCATTGAGCCCCTTTTCACAAGTTTATCAGAGATGACTACAAAGAAAGAGCTTACTTTAATCTAACATAAAATCAGCACAGAATGACATGGTGCAGGGCAGTGTGCAACAAAAGGAATTACACAAAGCAATAGAGAAATTAAAAGACCCAAACGGCCTATATTCACCCCGAGCCCTACTTTGTAGCTTTGTTTGCAATACAAAGTTTCAGACTTAAAGAGGAGTATATCTGTCTGCTGAGCCTGGTCTGTTTGTAGAAAAATGTGTCTCTTTAAAAGTAACAGGGTTAAAATATACCCCTCAAGAGACCTGTGATACTGTGCTGTGCTTCATTGTGTCTTCCATTCAGTTTATTGTGACTGACTGTGTCTGATGCAAATGCCTGTAGGATAAGCCCTCTGTGCCCTACCAACCTTGTCAATAAAATCCCACTATAATCCTCAATGAACGGATGTTTTTGAGCAAGATGTGTAGGGAATCTCGGGAAATGTTTGTAATTAAACAGGAGTCTGTTGCTCAGGTTTTTTTCAGTCAAAAACTTTAGGCATATGGCTTAGATGAGGACTTTTCACATTCTAAAGGCTATATTTGTTCAAAGAAGTGTGCTGAAATGATTAACAAGGAGAGTCCTTTCTCTCAGAAATATAGCTTATCATCAAAACATTGCTAACTTCTCCCCTGAATTCTGGACATTTCTATGTTCAGTGTCCTTGTTAACACAAAGGTCCTATATTGACTTTGGTATCAGCTATGTCTAGTGGAAAATCCAACTTCAAAGGAAGCAAACATCTGAACATCTAGGAAACTGTGGGATTTTATTGACGAGGTGTCTTAGGTATCTTAGTACAGATGGCTTATCACAGAAATGTGTTGCACATAGTTTGCATTTGTGCATTTGCATCAATGCATTCAGTCTCACGGAAACACTTGACTGCTTAGTGAAGGGAACTCTGAGATAAGTCACAAGATGCGAGCATGTGTTGTTTTTTTTAGGGGTTCAGGGATGAAATAATGTTGGGTGAAATCATAAATTACACTAAGTCAATGTTGAGTCTATTTTCTTTTAAAAATAAGACTACTTTGTTTCAACTTGAGGACGACTCACTTCCCCCTAAACAGACACAAACAGAAAAATGATATGGATGGTTATTCTAGCCTTAAACATTATGGTTTTAAATAGGTCGCGCGATCTTTTGGGAACAATACTTAAAACAGGAAGGAAGAGCTCAAAAAGAGAGGAACCATCTCCTAGGCCGTGGCATGAAATGTTGCAAAAGAGAAAAGCAGCCCAGTGAAAACAACTCCAAATGAAACAACATTCACGGAGGCCATCAAGCCGTGGAAATGGGCATTCTTATGATTCGTTTTGCAAACAAATGATTTGATGTCTTATACTCGAGAGAAAATATTTGGGTTGAAATATGTCGTGCCATTTATGTAATGCCATCATCACACATTATCATAAACTATAAACCGTGCGGATATCTTGGGGCTAAAATGAACTCGGTGTTCATGGCAACGGAGAAACGGCCTTCACGTACCAATAAATCCCTCGGCCAGCATGATTAGGATTTTAAGATAAGAGAATCGCAGCCTGTCTGTAATAGTTCACAAGCCTGTCAGTCATTTGGGTCCCTCTGACTCTTTGTTCACCCCTGTTAGGCGACAGCTCGAAAAAAACAGCATGCATGTACTTTCCGCATGTAGATTTGAGTGAACGGACTGGAAAATGAGTCTAAATTAAGTTTCTTTTCAAAGGGAACATGCACAGCTGATGAGATTTTCCTCCAGAATGTGTTTCCTAATACAAGCAGAGGATTAATTATGACAAAGATGCTGCATGGATTAATCTTTCTAATCACACATCACATTCACAGCCATTAGAATCTATTGTTATTATAATTGTGTTATACCACTTGAACGCACCATCAGCACAGGCTGAATGTCTAAATTGTATCACTGTCAGCTGAGAAGAATACACGCATTTCCTCGTTGTTCCCTCATCCTGTTGTTTATACTTGAGGCATATTATGGATGTGGGATCTTCATCGCGCATGCATCACACGACTCTCATTTTGCCTAAACACACATACAAAAACACCTGCAGGCCTACTAGACCATGATAGCCCCACCGCGGTGGGCCTTTCATGTGATTGCACATATCAATCTGGCTCTTGATTTGTGAGCACAGAGCGAGAAAGAGAGCGGATTACGAATCAGCTGACTCCCCACATTTTCTTCCAAGTGACTTATTAGAAGGGTTATTCTGAGAGGACTGTTGGACTGCTGAGGGGGGATTGGCTGAGTAGTGAGACCCTCAATGGAGCCAATCTCCCCTTCTCTCACAGTGGCAGATTACTTCAGACAACCATTCTTGCTGCCACTCAATAACAACAACAAAAAAACCTTTCTGCTTTTGTATATGCTGTGCTCTCAAATCCGTATTTTTCCCCTCCAATTTTTGTCACAATCATCCTTTTAAATGTCTCCACTCTAGTCGTGTTTTTTCCATTTCCTAAATAGAAAAGCAAAGCACTTCAGTAATTTGAGGGGACATTTCATCTAGATCAACACTGGGACCCTTTAAAGAATGTGTCTGGAACACGTTTACCTGTTAAACGTTTGGTTTGTGGCCTGCCTATGGGTGTCGGCTTGCTCCGTAACTTGTTATGTTGAGCTGATAATAGAACAGGAAGATGGAGGATTTCCTTTCAGCGCAGAGCCTGACCCATAGCTGTGTTCCTGTTAGTGCCTGCCCCCAGTTATCTGTTGTCGCTGCTCAGCACAAATAAGGTTCTGCAAGAGGTGCCGTCATCACTTTTGCATGTTTACACAAATTGTTCACGGGCGAGCCACCGTGAAAGCGCTATGAAAGCATCCTCCTTGGGAAAAAAACAAATTATTTGCGAAATGACATGTCCTATTTAGATGAAAATTGGGACTTGTAGTTTAATCTTGTCATATTTACATATATTTCAGCCTAAATTAATCCAATCCGAGACTTGCTGAGCTAAGTACGCTGATGATTCGAAAATTGCACTTCGTAATTAATCCACCACCCCGAAGAGACTCCAAAGGCAATTACAGGGGATTGGTCATTAGCCGGTCTCTATGTCAAACCAGTAACATATCAAGACACTACATTACTTTTTACACATGCAGCTCCTGAGGAAAAGCCTCTAAAGGCCCTGTGACCGGGCAATAGTTTTGTTATCAGAGACAAACAGGCGTAATGACCGAACCACATAAAAAGGACGTCAAATAAAGAAATGTGCAAATGGAATGACCTCTGGATGACCTCAACGGGGAGCAGTTATCAAATCAAAACTCCCTCAATAGTCCCTTATTGTGTTCTGTGACTCATTCTGTTCTGAGCAGTCATCTGGAATATTCTTAACCCAATCCATCTGTGCAGTAATGTGACTAGTCTGTACTTAGTTTCAGCCCTCTGACAATTTTAATTATGATACCATATTCATCAAACATTTTTTCATCAATACATTATTTGACCCAGTCCAGATTCTAAGGGTCTGCCGAAAAGCAATGACCTTTTAAACATACTTTTTCCATCAAGTTATGTCTGTTCATTTTATTTTTATGACTAAAGACTCAGAAATATTTGAGAATTATAATGATGTGTTTCTAATATGTCATCTGAATTAAATGTATCTGTATTCTGAGCAAGAAGCCAAAAACTATCTGTCTGTTCACTGCTTTGGTGCCAAACGACCCACCTAAATAACTGCCATGGAATTTGGTGAAGCATTCATGGTCCCCAGAGGATGAAGCTCCCTGATTTTGGTGATCTTCTGACTTTTCCTGTAGCACCATTTGACTTGTGGTGAATGTTTCCAGCACTATTTATAGATTGTTAG